AGCGTGTGCGAGTACAATGTGACGAAGCTGCCGCAGTAGACGATGACCAATCTTCCGCTTGAAAAGGCTGCAAGGGTAGGTAAGGTAGCCTTCTCCCCTCGTATCACGCAAATAATCCCACGCACAGCGGAGTTGTTGATGCGGTGGTGTTGCAAGACTTTTCTTGCAGCAAGATTTGCGCAGACAGATGATGCGGTTGTCGTGGAGCTGTGATAATTATTGCAAGCCTCCAAGCCAGTGGCGCCGCTGCTAGCGTTGTATTGAAAAGCAAGAGGACGCGAGACAACACATGGCTTGCTGGCTCCGTCGCCCTATGGCCCTGTAGCTCTTCCATGCGAGGCACCCGGTGGGCGGGCATCAGACGCAGAAATGCTCGCTGTGTCTTTGGCGGAGGGTGGCCATCCAATGCCTTTGGCTGGACCGTCTGGCTAGACCGGGCTGGCCCCTCGCTGAGCCCGCGGCGATGGTGAGCACGTAGGGCGGGCGAGGCTTGGAGAACAGATGGGAGCTAAGGTGCTGATTGCCACCTGGGGTTAGCAATGTCTTGGGTCTGGAGGTGGGTGAAGACCATTCGCCATGGATCTGGTCGCGCTCCCGTCTCGATCGAGAGATCCGATGTCGATTGGAATGTCACCGAGAGCACGGCACGGGAGCGATGCTTCTCGAATTGGTTACCATTCCTCCTGGCAGGACACCCGTATGGGCCGTTTGAGATGTTGTCAATTTGTGATTATACTCTCGGTTGTCCTGCGGGAAGTGGCGGTTCGGGCGCGGCCGTTTTTTTCCTCGATGGGTCGCGATGCTGGACACCGGGAGCTACTTGCAAGGAGCGTTTTGAGCAGAAGTCTGATCTGCACGCCCAAAGCTAAATATCGGGAGTCAGTGTCGAATATTGGAGATTGGTGGTGTGGTCGTGAGGAGAAGCTGAGCTGCATCGTACATGATGCAATGCGGTGCGGAGTGAGGTGAAGATGAGGTACGCAGGAGACGACGGGTAGGTAGTAGACGATAGGTATCTGACTTGTCGATGTTTTTGTTGAGGCGGAAAGGAAGATTCATTGAGGAAAGCGCAAGAAACAATAGAGTATCTGAGTATCTGAGTTTCTGCCACAGCCGGCAGACTGATGTGGTAGGTGCAGTCCATGGGCTGCTCACCGAGGCACGCTTTCCTCGCTTATCTTGCTCACCTTAAAGTCACCGCATGCATGACCTCTAAGTGAATACTCTCAGATATGAATATATGCATTTAGGGGAGAAGAGGAAAACATTTCTTGTTCCTCTCTGACGACAGCGAAATAATACTCTATCTCCTTCATGCTGTACCATCATCACTCAACCACGGTTGATCTCTCGACACACAACATGCTATGGACGAGAATGGCAAACCGAAGTGCCAGCATTGCATCGGATCGATGTCCGGGCCGGACTTGGTGCAGCACCTCCCTGTATCTACCCGAGTCCCGATGCAGTCACAATTGGTCAAGTCAGCCATGTCGACAACCCTCCACTGACTTGCCGTCGTCAACAGCACATCCCTCGCTGAAGTCGGTGTTTTCTTTGAGCGATCTGACTCTCACTGTATTAGATCGCTGTCGATATCATCGGATAGTGCACCTAAGCCCAAGGTAGAGGCAAGACATGAATCGCGACACACCTGGCAGGGTATGTATGCGCGGGAGGAGGCCGATGAAAGGAGGAGACGGGCCAATAAGTCAGATGCAGACCAGCTTTTCGACTTTGCGCACCATCGAATTTCAATCTTTGCCCATCCGTTATCGTTTCCCCGCAGCAGATTTTCTGCCCCTAAATGTTCCAAAGCCCATCACCACGTCTCGTCGACCTGAGTTTCAGCGTAGATTGGCTCAGATCCGAGATGTCAAGTCATGGTCAAATCACCAAGTCCACCCAGAGCACAAGGATTCGCGCTGGCCAGCAAGATATGCATGCCGCATCGCATGCCGCAAACAGTTGTCATCGGATGCTGCACCCAGCATGACTGGTGCTTGTGACTGCCACATTCGGTTTTCTTTGTTCCGTCCAAATTCCAGTCTTTCTTTCAACTCTACAATCGCATGTTCCTGCATATCGTCCTCAGCCGTCGGGACTTGGTCAACATCCATACTATACGTCGGTATCACGTCTTCGACACCTCAACCGAGACAATGACGGGGTGAAGTCGCCTCAACCCAGATCGATGCCGCACGCCAGAAGCGACGTGTAAGCGAGGTCGCTTCTTGTTTGTCGGGTTCATCAGACTAGCTGTAATTAGCCAAACCTTGGCTTCTGATCCCGGGACCATCCTGAACTTCTGCCCTCCTCCTTCCCACCCCTTCTCCACAGGTTCCGTGTACGCGGTTCTCCATGGCAGAGATAGACCCCTCTTTCTTCAGCGTGGATAGTCTACATGTAGTATGCCGCTTTGTTTCGTCATTCGCGGCTGAGGCGCATCTGGTCGACAACTCCGTTCCCTTGCGCACGCCATTACTCTTCTCCAATTCGATATCATTCTGCACCTAAACTAGCTTCTCAGCACACTCTCATCAGTGTCAATTTCTGTCTGTACAATTCGGCAACTCCAACCACTGATGGCGGGCTGAGCATCCCTTTCGGACGTTTTCCATCCATGTAATATCCAAATGAATCCTAGACCCCCCTTCCTATGATGGAACACCCTCCCCGTCAACGTTCCGTTCGGGTGTCCCCGTCCCTGGTCACTCACACCCAGAGATCCCATGTTTAAACCCCGCTGCTATACTTCCGCGAGGCCATCCTGGCACGGATACCGTCTAATACCAGGTGCTGGGGATACACAGGTAACCGATGGGCCCTCTCACCGAACCCCTTTTCCTTTCGCTTCTTGTTTCCGACGCTACCAGGATCGCTTGGAGTGAGCTCCTCGATTCAAGCTCTTGCCTCAGTGGAGGGATCAGCATGCCCCTAGCCGACCACTTGCCCTACCTCGACCCGACCTATCTTTGATCCCTGATACATATAGGCTTCGCTTTGGGGTTTGTACAAAAATGTGGCTTTCGGAAACTTCGCAAGTCTGTGATCCTCCTCATCGTATCACGACCTGAATCTCGCACCACCTCACACACCCTCCCCCTCCTCATCACCTTCAACATGGTGGTGCCCAAAAGACCAGGTGTTGTCCAACAAAGAACGCCGAGTTACTCGGTCAGGGAGGGCGCGGAGAGTGCCCTGGCTGCCCTTGTCTCCGCGTGTCAACAACAACTTCCTCCTGAATTTGTCGAACACTTGCGAAACGTTACCTTTAGTACGCCACTCGGGGACACAGCATTCTTCCCATGTCCCCTGAAGGAACAGGAGGCCACTGCCTCCATCAAAGCCCTCGAGGGCATGGCCGCGGCCGCCATCGCCGACTTGAGGTACGGGCAGGCTTCAAGAGATATAGATGTTGACGTTGCGCGCACTGCTTGTTTCCTGATATCGGCTTATTTGACTACCGTTGATGGCATGGACAAAGCCCATCCAAATGTCAAGTCGAAAATACCAGGTATGTCGTCATACTAAACAACGAAAGCCCACCCGTTAACGTTCGGCAGACACCGACTTGAACCAGGCGCAGTCAATTCTCTACCGGCGCCTATCTGCAAACTTGTATGAAACAAAAACTCCGGGAGAGTACTACCACCTTCATGGATCCCTCGAGGCTAGTAAGGCCCTCAACATGATAGGCCTACCGGCTTTCAACCCGGACCTCCAAAACTATGGCGAGTGCATCAAGACCATCGAGACCGCCATGAAGCGTTTCACCGTCGAGGAGCTTGAAGAGATGAACCGTAGAGAAGGCCAAGCCGGCGTCCCCGTCCTCAAAAAGGAGCAATTCCTCGACTCGCCACACGGCACAGCTCTACAATCTCTTCCTCCTTTCACAATAAAGCCGGCCGAAACCACCACCCCACCAATTCCCTTTGAGTCTCAAAACAGCAACCCCGGCCCCGAGCAGTGTCTCCGCGGAGTTCGCGTCCTCGAGCTCTGCCGAGTGATAGCCGGCCCTACCATCGGCCGCTCTCTCGCAGCCCACGGCGCCTCCGTTCTCAAAGTGACATCTCCGCAACTTCCCGACGTCCCCTTTTTCCAGGTGGACGTCAACACCGGCAAGCATACCACCTCCCTGCATCTTAAGGATCCCAAAGACCGTGAGACCTTCGATGCCTTGCTTACAAGCGCAGACGTTGTTCTTGATGGCTATCGCCCGGGTGTCATTGACCGTCTAGGCTACGGCCCAGATCAACTCGCCATCATCGCCACGAAACGCGGCAAGGGGTTCATCTACGTGGCGGAAGATTGCTTTGGGGGAACGGATCTCGGAGAGGGCAGGGCAGAATGGGCCGGCCGTCCTGGGTGGCAGCAGATCGCGGACTGCGTCACGGGCGTGGCGTGGGAGCAGGGCCACTTCATGGGTCTCGATGCGCCTGTTGTCCCGCCTTTCCCAATGTCTGACTACGGCACAGGGGCGCTGGGTGCCGTTGCTGCCATGGCTGGGCTGTATCGAAGGGCCACGGAGGGCGGGTCGTGGGTTTGCAGGACGAGTCTGTGTCAGTATGATGTCTTCTTGCTTTCGCTTGGGGCGTACTCGCCGGAGGTGCAGGCTAAGCTGCGCAAGTCGCATGATCCTGCGTTCTTTGACCTGAAGCATCACGACTCGGTGGATGAGGTTAGTAAAAGAGCCCTGAGGAGTGTGAAGAAGCTTCATCCTGGGTTGTTTTCGGAGGACATGATGCACTCTGCATATAGCGAGGGATTTGATGCTGAGGTGAGGTGGCCCAGAGAAGCTATCAGCGTGGAAGGGATCAAAATAGGACATGTTCGGGCTTCGAGGCCTAATGGAGCTGACGAACCTACCTGGGAAGACTGGGAGTTTCAGGACGATGCTATTAGGTCCTGATGAATGGCTCGATTACTGATACCAGACTTGCTTTCTTCCGGGAGAAAAATTGATGCCATATTACAGGAGATGACAATATCTAGAGTTACTACATAGGGAGTGAGTTCGAATCCATAAAACCCAAGTAAGGGTGAATGTGGCCAGCTGCCAACGACACATGCCACCAGACATTTCTGTGCTTTCTCGCAAGATGTCCAATCTCCGTGCTTTGAGTCGGGCTAGTCAACAGAACTTTCAACGACCCAGAACGGCCAGCGTTGTTCCTCTTTGCCACATACTCCAACGCCGTCGCAAATTCATCGAGATCATCCAGCCAACGTCCCTGCTCATACCACGAAACACCGTCGATGATGCAGTACACCGTCGTCTGAGTTGGCACCTGCTTGATAATTTTGACGAATACTTCACAGAGAACGAGACAGTCCCCTTCTCTGCATCCCTTGATCATGTCCTTGGACATGAAGCTTAAGTCGCGTGAGGGCAGATTGTCACTCATCAGGAGCTGAGCTATGAGGCTCCTGATCATAGCCACCGGTCCGCTATCAATATCTGGCAGCTGCATATCGACATGCAGCCCTGCGAAGAAGAAGGCCACAGCCGAGCCCCGGCTCTCCACGAGGGCGCTGATCAGACCACCACATATCCCTGACAGCGGGGATATGAAGGAGTCCTGCAGCTCCCCGTCCACAAGGAGCAGAGAAGAGCGATTCTCTCGAAGCCAATTGCGAAACTCATCGGTTTGTAGTAACCACTGAGCTTTTGCCCTCTCATCTGTATCAGAATGCTCTGAATGGCCCAGGATAGTTTCAGAGTCGTCCCCTAATTTATCAAGATCAACCCCAAGAATGTCTAGAAGCTGCACGTCGTCAATAAGGCTGACCCTCGGCTGTTCTACGATGCTGTTCTGGGACACCTTTCGACGCAGTGTCTCATTCTCGACGCTGAGATGTTGGTTTCCTGCCGCTGGTTAGCGTTACGAATTGAGAATGTGGTCTGCGATCTGGCTTACTTTCTTCCAATCTCAACTCCCTGGCTTGGTAGTGTTCTCTTTCTCGAGAAAAGCTCTCTCTTTCGCGCGTCATGCCCTCCATTTGTTCCTTCATCAATGAAGCCACATACGCCGCAATTTCATTGCCCCGATAAATCTCGGATAAGATGGACGCGTAATCCTTCTTGGTGTTATGGAATATGGCCGTCTGCATTGCCTTACTTTCTGCAAGTAATGCCCGGATATCCATGTCTGAGTGTTTTACTGCGTCGCCAATGCTTTTGAGCTCTGCGGAGAATTTGGAGCACATTTTCCACTTCATTCGTTGCACATGCTCCTTCAACTGCACCACTTTTTGGTCCCAGCGTGACAATATGTCGTCAATTGTCATGGTCTCTGGGATGCTAAGTGAAAGAAACCTGACGACTTTGCGATACCCTACATCAAACATATGTGTCAACTAGAGCGGCATTGGAGGGTGACAGACATGAACAGAATTCTTACATTTCTCTTCTCCTAGAAGTATTTTAATCAGAGCTGGGAGGTCCTCAAGAAGCATGCCGACCGCCTCTGTTTGGACTTTCATATCGGCCGGGTCAGGGTCAAGAAGATCGAAGGCCATGTTGATGGTCAGAATGCTGTCAGGAATCGTCTCGAAGGTTTGGACAATCTTGTTTCTGTTCTCGTCATGCGCCTTGGTAGCCTATCACAATCAATCAGCTTCTTCGTTTAGCCAGAGTCCAAGGGCAAAATGGTGAGAGTTTTAGGTGGCCATACATCAAATATGAGAGCGAGTCCCCCCTTCAAGATTCCGATGCCGTAATCGTCCGGGAGAAGATTGATATAGGCTGAAATCACATCACCACCAGCTGTCACCTTGGAGCCGAGATCGGATCTCTCTTCATTGCGAGTCTTCGCCGCAGCCATTTGTTCAAAGACGAGGTCCCAAGAGCTGCTCCCAACCTTCAAGGCGGTATCTGCCTCATTGTCGTGAGCGTCAATGATTTTTCCCAGGTCCCTACAGGCTTTAGTCTTCTTCAGTTGATTAGAAGTTGCAAATCAAAGAGACATACTTCACCGCGACCTTGTTTCTAGCCTGGAACCTATCTTTACTGTTGTTGTATTGCAATTGCCCCGGGGGCGCATCGCTGAAGCTAGGAACCTTTTTGCGAATGAGCTTCTCGCATATTTGGGGACTCGGCGACCTTTGTCTATCTTTTGAACGCCACAACGGTCTGCGCATGCGATGAAGGCCGTGTGAGCTGCTATGCTCCCCCATCGTGAGGACAGACTTGGTGAAATCGAGAAATCTTCTGCCGCTGTATCTGTTCCTCGAACCGATGATGAACACGCAATTTACACCTTCGTGAGTCTGGGGAACAGACTGCTCACAGCCTTATTTCAATCCTTTTGGGGACATCTCGGGTCACGGGTTGGGCCATAAAACCCCATGCAAGCCTACCCAGGGAAAGGGCCATGACTCCATTGGTTCGCCAGCCGTTTCCATGACGCCGATTAGCTCATGGTGGTAATCTGATGGAACGCCATTCCCAGAATACATCTCTGACCACCCTCTTGACGCCATGGCATCTCAATTCTGGTCCAATGATCTGGCGCTGAGTCCTCAGCCTGCCGCTGAGCTGCAGCAGCGCGGCATCCAGAACGTCATCCTGCAATGAAACGTTAGCAAGGCTCGGGGCATTCGAATCGAGACTCAAGAGAACACCCCTTCTTTGAGAGGAGTACAAAAGCGAGACATCGCTTCAAGTTGCTCTTGGACGTGCAACTTTTATAACCAGCTTTTCTGCACATCACTGCTAGCTACGTCTCGATTGGATGCACGAATTGGGTTGGACAAAACGCAACCGTCAACATGTCAGAAGGGTCTGCTACTACGGAATCAGACTCTGATGTCCCAGCCTCACACAGCGAGCGGGATAATTCGAAACTCAGAAAGAAGCGATCATCTCGATCAAGAAGAAGGAGAAGATCATATGGAACCCGATACTCCACAGATACCGATTCCGATTACGATGATGTATTAGTTGAAGACATCTCACTATTGGAGAGACCTTTAAGGTCGGGGGTGCGGTACTACAATTACGAAGGATTCCAGAATAGGATGCGAACAGATGAGGGTGACTTTGGGATCGAGGTATTTGTCGCAAAGCCGGACTGGTATCATGAGATGATGACGGAGGAGGACAAGAGGGATAGCCCCTTACCACCACCATCGCAACATGCTCGACGTCGGTCATCGCGTCGACCAACACCAGGGCAGGTGCACTTACCCCGAATGCCTCCGCCACCACCACCGCAGCTTCCTCCCCCCCCAAGTCAGCAACCATCAATCAGCGGCCCGCGGCCTCTTCCTCCCTACATACCGCCAGTGCCACTTCGCGGTGTCCACATTTTACGCCCAGGACCTCCAGATCAACGTATCGACGGCCATAAGCATGCGTACACCTCGCGATTGCAGCTATCATCAGGCTCGTTAACTGCACCGGAAGGACGGCTTATGCGCATCAGGCTCCGCTCCCAGGTCGTTCTCCATGCGCTATCATCGGTCTCTGGTTACGATGTCCTTGGCAGAGAAAAAGTTGTCGAGTTTCATCGCCCATTTCGAGTGCTTGAGGAGTCACTTACTGGGATGAAATCCAAGTTGTCCGAGATGGAAAAGGCAATGGATAAGCCAATCTCAGCTGGATCACATGCTGCAGGAAAGGACATTGCTCCAAGCGAGGAACAGAAAATCGATCCTCACGACGAGAGCACCTCACATCCGCCAAATGACCCGATCAACGTCTTAACCGAGACGGCAGAGGAAAAAGTTGATCAAGAGTGTGCGGAACCGTCAACTTCAGTTGATCAAGACTTAGAACACATGCGATGTTTTGTCAATTTTGTGGAACAAGTCGTCGTTCCCATCCGGGACAATTTTCGAGGCTCCCAGCTTCAAAATTGCCAACGTATTTGCTTCGAGGACATCCCTTATCTCTTTCAACCTGGATCACTGGCCTTTCTTGCTCACAGGGCGAGGACGAAGAGGCTCCTACACAGATCTGCGGTCCAGAGGGTATGGAGAATGGTGTCTTGTTGCCCTGCCGCTGTCCCTTCGGTTTACAGAATTAACCCGCAAACGGATAAAAGCGAGTTCACTCAATGGTCGCTTTACTCGTTTGATTACGATGGAGAACGCCTTGTGCCTATTTGGACGACCGTTCGATTCAAACGTTTCATAGGAGAGAGAGATATTACCTCCTTAGAATGCTATCCTCTGTCTCTCCATGAGAGCAAGAAGGACGTTTTCGAGGAGCAGAAAGCTTGTGGGGAGCTCTTCCTGAAGTGCATCAGGAGTAGCACGAAGCACCATTACTACTCGGGATGGACCTTCATCACAGGTCTGTTCGGAGAGACTTTTCGAGATCATGAAGGGGGAGAAGTTCAGTCCCCCGAACACATCGAGAGTGAGATTGTTGTCGACTTCAAAGAAACGCTTCAGAGCTATCCTGGATGGGAAACCATGTCAGGCGTGCCGCTACATTTCCCCGCACCTTGGGATTCAGTGCCTTACGCTGAGGTTCCCCTGAAAATCTGGGAAGAAGGTGTCAAAGCATTTCCCCAACACCGGCTTTCGTGTAGTGTGACTACTTCGATTATCATCGAAGAGCAAAAACTGTACAAGTCGGAAGCGAATACATGGGTGTCTCAGGATTCATTCTTAGACAAAAAGGCGAATTGGCAGGAGTGGACTTGGTCTGATGAAGATATTGTTCTACTACCTCGACGGGCATTCGCCTACGTCTTACGAGAGCGAAAGTTTACACGAATCGACGTCAGAAGTATTGAATTCAATACTGAGCAAGGCAATCTTACTCTGGACCAAATTCAGATGAAGCCTGAACGCCGGAGGATGATTCGGTCAGCTGTTGCGGCACACTTCAGGAGTAAACAAGGACCTTCTACTTCCGATCTTGATCCCGTCAGAGGAAAAGGAAAGGGACTTGTAATACTGTTACATGGCGCGCCTGGTGTTGGAAAGACAGCGACAGCAGAAGCAGTTGCAGCTGAGACTGAGAGGCCGCTATTTCCTATCACCTGCGGCGATCTCGGGTTCTCGCCTGCAGCAGTCGAAAGGTCCTTGAAGGATATTTTCCGCTATGCCCACTTGTGGAACTGCATTCTTTTGTTTGACGAAGCTGATGTATTCCTCACACAGAGGGAACGCGGTGGTGGAAATCTAGAACGCAACGCTCTCGTGGGAGGTGAGTCCTGACATAGCCCTATAACTCTCGAGTGACTGCAACTGACCATCCGTTTCCAAGTGTTCCTCAGAGTCTTGGAGTATTATAGCGGGATTTTGTTCCTCACAACCAACAGAGTCGGTGCTCTCGATGAAGGGTTTCGTTCCCGCGTGCATCTCAGTCTCTGCTACCCCAACTTGAGTCTCATCGACACAATCAAGATCCTCGAGGCCAATCTTCAACGTTTACCCAGAGTCAAAGATGGCGTTGCGGGGGATGGTTATCTGGACGTCGAGGACGAGAGCATAATAAGGTTCGTCAGCGATGAATATGATGAGTATTCCAGAAGAACACGCAGAAAAAGAGGTCCATGGAATGGACGACAAATCAGAAACGCAGTGCAAATAGCGGCAGGCCTATCTCTTTACGACAAACAAATCAAATTGGAGAAAGGCATCAAAGACGAAAGCCCAGCTACGCTGACAGCCAGACATTTCGAGGCTGTTGCAGACACCACAGATGAATTTGAGGAGTATCTCAATATTGTAAAGATCGGGGATCAGGAGGACCAGGCAAAGCGTCGCCAAGAGCGTGCGGATCATTGGCGGGCGAGAGAGAGAAACAATGAAGACCACCCTGACCGAACCACAAGGCGACGCACGCAGATAGCCAGATACAGGGACTCTTCAGTAGACCCTGAAATCTCTTCTTCGAGAGCTCGCCAAAATTCAAGGTCACAACGTTCCGACGTATTCGATAGAACTCAACTTGAAAATCGAAGACGCCAGGACGACATGGGCGCAGGACGTGGAGCAGGCCGAGAGCAGCAACGCCCGCGGGGAAGCCGCATGACTCGACCGGCTCAGGACGACTACCATGAGGATGACAATGACATGGAAGACGACGATCTGCGAGATCAATATGATGAAGAAGAAGAACAGGACGAGTATACCTATGAGCGGCGCTCTCAGGGAGGAAGAACAGGGGCTGGAAGACAACGTTTGTGACAAGATTTGCGGTGGATCACGAGCACCCGACAACATGTGTCGAATCGATCTGGAAATGTGAGAAACAACTTACATGGATGAGTTTCATTCTATCTCTTTTCATTGAAGAAGTTTAGTCCAGAGATTGCACGCTTCACTCTCTTTTCCTCAGTACACATCAATTAGTTACTTGAATGACTACTACGTTCGTTTTGATCCGCCGCATGACCTTAAGATGACTGCGGAATTCACTCTCATGGAATGAGGATGCCAATGAGTCGGACGTATCTCTCAGTTGATGCTGAAAACGAAAGTTGAGTACAGCGTGACGGTAGCAGGACAAAGCTTTTGACTGAAAGTCAAATAATCCCTGATAGACCCGAAGCCCCTGTTAGATACTCAATGTATACGAGAAGGACATAGATGATGAATTCCGATCTTTGTGCCGATTATCATCAGCCCATATAAGTTGCCATGCATATGGCATCCATCCAACGTTAAATTTTCAATTACCCGGGAGAAGCGAAGGCAGTGAACAAACGATGCTGCCCATTCTGTTGCTTCGATCATCATATCCCAGCTAACACAATATTTATATGTCAACCAGTCGGAAATATCCAGATAGTGCGGCCTCCCCCTTAAAGCGGACTTCCACAAATACGACATCCTACCTCACTCGGGACAAATCCGTCCCTGTGAGAGGAAGGTCACTGCAAGATGCGACATATCAGGTACATAGCAGCTTTCATGGTTCTAGTAGCGGTCTACAGGCGGCATATTGCCGGCATTTCAGCCTTGGAAGCAGAATAGCACTCTAATACGAAGATCGTTCCTGCTAACGAAGAAGTCAGGGGCGAAGGAAGGTGGACGCAAACTCACGTCTAAAGAATGTTGAGGCACCCGCAAGCATCGAAAAGCGCTCCTCAAGGAATTATTCAAGATCTGCTACATAGACTAAAGCAGAATGGCAGACGATCAATTGCTTTAAGAGGCGCATGATAGGCCATGGTGTTGCCGGAAGATATACGCTCATGACCCTTGGTGGAACGTCTGTCTTCTTAGATCTCATATCAATGCATGGCCGTAACGAAGACATAGCATCAGAAACCAACCAATTCAGAAGCCCTTCTCTGTCTGATGGAATGAGTGTCTTCCCTTCGGTGAGCTTACACGTTTCATTCAAGTCGCCGTCACGTTAAGAGAGGATTCAACATTCAGTGAAGGAATGGCTTGATCTCATGAGCTTCGTAGTTGTGAGGTTGCTGATAACCTGTTTAATTATATCGGACACAGCAAAGACGACCGAGTTCAAGCCCAAGTCCATGCACAAGGGATTTGCCACAATGAATCAAAAGGGGCGCAAAACAAAATAAATTAAAAAAAAAAAAAGGTCAGAACCGGGCTCCGAACCTGTGATCCCTGGTGGCCACACACACCTCAGGTCGATTGACCCGTTGAGCCAGTTGGACCCAGGGCAAGTCCGATAGCGCGGTTGAGCAGGACGGTCACCTGCCTCCTCATCAAGCCACAAGTGAGGTTTGCCATTCCACAAGGCAGGAGTGCCCTCGTGCTTTAGGCAGACACAATTCACTTCACACAACCCAACAGGGGGAAGTCACAGACTTGTCAGCTGCACTTGGGGAATCGACAGAATTACGATTTGCTGCTGTGATGGGGGTTTAAAAAGACGAATGATGCTTCAGTATTTCCCTCACCACCACAATCGAATTGGCATTGTGCCGAATCCTTGAAAGAGATCGAAGCCCGCCAACCAGAACATGATGATCCTCGAGGGCATAGACACGAGGCTCGCAAATCCTTCTACCCAAAATTTATTGTCCTCATCTACTAATTCTGTTGCCCCCGAAGTATTATGTTAGCAATACTCTAGAGGAGAGCATGTAGTCATGCCCAGAGCGTAGTTTCCTCGTACAGTCCGCTTCTTTAACAAGGCCAATATACTTTATTTTTGTCCCATGAATTCTTCAGGACTCACTGCCAGGCTTGTCAACTGCTAGAAGGCGTTTCACATAGTCGAGACTCACCGATATATAAAAGTGCGCTGATCCTTACACGACTTTATGAGAACTCATATGTGCTATAAAAGAGCTGATCGTTGTTTCTACCAACAGGCCCCATGAGAAACTGTCGGCAACGCCAGCCCATCGCAGCGTTAATTGAGCTGGGCGCGCCTTACGTAATCAGCAATTACATAAGGCACCAGCCTCTGCGATTAACGCTGCGATCGCAGCTGCTGCCTCTAACGCAGTTAACCTTATACATATCACTACTAACGCAGTTAATATAATATAATATTTGCTGCCTATAGTGCCCTACTAGCTAGCTAGTCCTATGAGACTAATACTAATTAGTAGTTAACTTCATAGTTACCACTATGCGATATATTAATTAACTATAGATCAGTAAGGCTCTAAAAGAGGTGGTCTTATTAATATTTATTTAGATCTGTTCTACCTAGAAATGCTTAATTAATCAACCTATACTAACGAAGCAGTTGCAATTTTGAGAAAAGATGGTTTGTATCGCCTAAGCTGCTTTGAACTTACCCTCCTCTAGTTTCTAAGAAGAGTATGTTAATGCTGATATTACTAACATTAGTAGGATTAAGTAATATCTCCCTATAGTATTAATAATAGTAAGATTATAACAACAGCCTTTATAGCCTCTAATCTTATATTTAATAGAAGTAGTTATAATATAACCTAAAGGATAGTTTATTTCACTTAAAACGCTCTTAGTAATCACTCCTCTTTCTTATTTAAAGAGCATCTATTATATATTTAACTCTTAACGTTAACTTTAGCCTGTTAACTTATAATTAATAGTAAGGTTAACTACCTACCTTACTTTTAACTACTTTGCTTAACCTCCTACCTTCTTATAAGCAGAGTTTTCACACTATATAAGTAAATAAGAGATTACTCTGCTTTTAATAGCTTTTAACTACCTTCTTTTCACTAAGTTAATATTAATAGTAAACAGCTACTTTAAGCCTATTTAATAATAACTACCCTCGCGCGCAGCGCGCAGCATACCTTACTATAAGTTTTTCCTATTATTTAACTATTAAATACTAACTGCTAACTATTAGCTACAAGAGAATTTTTTACTATCTTTTACCCTTACTAACCTATACTCCTTCTATAACGCTATTATATAGTTCTTCTATTTCTCCTATAATACTACTTATCCTTAAGATTTTACTATTTTATTAATAATATTACTTACTAAGCCTACCTACCCTCCTATTAATACTTACCTTTAGTATCCTTCCTCACACAGGTAACTAACCCTCATTCTATTATAGAGATCCTTCCTAACCCCTATACTTCTGTTTTTAACTACTATTAAGCTGCATTAAGTTAAGTAAAAGCAATAGAGTAATAAATTATCTATTAGATAAATAAGCCTTAGCTGCTATAGTACTTAGTAAGCTCTTTATGATTATAGTGTAGTAATCTTCGCTTACGATTTAATTTAATGCCTTACTTTATTAGAAATATTAATACCTACCCCTCTATATCTTTAATAAGCTATGCAACTTCTTAAATAACTATTATTAATTTGTTGTAGCCCTATTAGCGTTACTCTTTAGTATATTTATAGTTACTAAGAGCTCCTCTAACTATATCTAATTCAGCTACTCTAGCCCCTCTAGGTAACCCTCTAGGCAACCCTCTAGCTCTACTAGTACCTCTAGTGCCTCTAGCTAGCAACCACTTTATCCCTATCCCTATTAGAGTTTATAGTATAGTTAACTAGAGCCTTTAGGGAAAGCTTAGTAATATTAATATAGAATTAAGTATTACTACCTATAGATAAGTTACTTTATACTTCTTATTTAATATAGAATACTACTAACTTAACAGCTTTACTAGTTCTACCTTCTAAGGTTAAGCCTCTACTAACTTCAAAGATATACTAGAGTCTGCTTTTAATAACTATAATATAGCTACTATAAAGGAATTTAGAGACTTCCTTATTACTAATAGGGTTTATATTATCTAAGATAGCACCTCTATTACCTCTAATATCTATGCTACCTTTTATAGAGATTTCTACTAATAGACTAATAATAATATTAATAATAAGATAACTAAGTTTCCCTCTCTTAAGAAAGCTATTAAGGATATTAACTTCTTTAATAATATTAAGGGTATTAAGCTAGAACTGCTAGCTTCTTCTAACTATACTTCCTTATATACAGCTCTATCTTTCAGACTAATCTAATATAGATTAAGCACTTCTAGAGCCTGCTAATTAACTACTTTCATCCCTCTAAGAGGCTTTAACGTTAACTTCAGTAAAAGTAACGCACTTAATATTACTATGCTTAATTAGCTATCCCCTTAATAACTCATAGATCTCACGAAGTTATATAATAACAGCATGCGATTTAGGGGTGATATATATAATATCCTTAACTTTAAGCTTCTTATCTTCAAGGATTATTACGTTAAAGCTAGTATTAACTAGTTCTAAACCCTAAGTGCCTTCTCTATTATGCTTAAAAGTAAAGTACTTAACTACTACTATAATAAGCTTTATAATAATAATACACCTATTAACTTTACTAGATTAGTTACTAAAGTTAAAGCCTACTTTAAGACTAAAGAGTTATATTAAGTGTATCTCTCTGAGTAGCATAATACTACCCTTAACTATATAATCCTTAAGAACCTTAGTAAGACTAAGATAGAGTGCCTTAAGATAGTTTTTAATAAACTTATTACTATCTAATATACTCTCTCTACTATCTACTATTTTAATAATACCCTCTATAACTAGGTCCTCAGTACTTACTAAGGTATGCCTAAGTATAACTACGCTCTTATAAGCTCTACTAAAAACTATAAGAGTGTTGCTAACTAGCTTAAATTATCTATTAGTATCATAATATAAAGCTAGGCTTATAAGCATTTTATAATAAATCTAGCTTTAGTTAACGATTAATACTAAACTAATTACTAATATAATAGCTATAGCTATAGCTCTTAATT